AGATTTACCTTTGCGGGGTAACATGACTGTTGGACATGAATATTGGATGCTCGTGGTCGTCGATAATGATGTCTAGGCGTACGCCAGCTATTTGAGATGAACCAATACGCGGTGGATGTTTGAACGGTTCAAGGGTGATGAACGAATTCGGTGAGGGAATTTTCGGGACAGTGACATTTTTTTCATTTATTCGAGAAAGTTTATTCCTTTCACGTGCGAACTTTTGTGTTCTGCCTCGGAAATTTTGAGAACCAGCCGAGAGGGAATAAATCCATACTATTTCCCATTGGACTGGGAGCACGATGTCCTCCCGAAACGTGACCTGACGGATAAGTGAGAGGAAATGAAACTCTTTTGGGGATTATTTCTGTCAAATAATCTGAATTAGTTTTTTTTATTTTGTAATGAGAGAAAAAACGACGAGTTGATGTCACAAAACTGACTTCTTGAGGCAAATATATTATCTCCGGAGCATCAATCGCTAGGGACAAGAATTCCGAGAAATTTTCAGGACTTGAAGGAGAATAATTTACAATAAAATGAGATTCTCTTGGTTTCAGAATTTTTTTTTGGAATGTTAAAAATTTTCGTCTGAATTCTCCGTGCCAAATTTCGGAAATTTTTATTGTGTTCAAGTTTCACAGAAATTTTAGGAAATCTTATCATTGAAAAAACAAATATTCCATTGATTTTCTGTTCAAATGATCTGGAAATCAATAAAATAATGCAGCTTTGACCCAGTGAATTATAAATCATGAGCTTTTGTATTGAATTCAAAGGGAGGAAATAAACTCATCTCTTAATTTCTGACTTTCCTAGTCGTTGGGAGAATATTATCTTATTTCGAACGGAAAAAATTAATTTTTCATACAGTATCGTACTTTATCTCAAAAAGCGGCGATTTCTTGTTTGAACTGGGAGAGTTAGTTTTGGAATAATACGTCGTTTTTTCCTCTCACACTTAAAAATCTTTGTTCCACTGAAAGTTCAAAGAATTTTGCCCCTGAAAATTCAGAATTTTATGAAAAAATCAATAGGAAATGAACATTTTATTTCAGTTATTTTATTAAAATGAAAAGAAATCAGTCTTGTTCTGCAAAACATATATGTTTAAATTTCTAATTAAAATCAAACACAAAGAAAATGTAATCAATTGTCAATTCAGCGTAATTTAGTGCTGAATATTCATATTTGGATGGAAAATTCAAGAATGTTGGAAAATTCTCGTCTTCTTTTGGCTGAAAAATACGGAATTTCATAAAATTTTCAGTGAAATTTAAGATCTCATGACTTTTTTGCATCGTTCTCCTAAAAATTACTGCTATTATCCATTAAATTTCATTTTTAAAGAATATTTTCGCTCAAAATTGAAACTGCATTCATCGAAATCGCGATGAAACTTAGATTCCTCTCAACGAAACCCCAAAAAAAAAAGTTTTCCTTTAAAAAAATTGAACTACTACTGACCAAACCAAGAATTTTCCATCTGTAAATCTCCTGTTCAAAGCGGATGCCGTAATTCACACGCCATAAATACGCGTCCATAATAATTAATTGAGACGTTCACTATCCAGAGTGGCCTGAGAATATGTTTTTTCTCCTCAACTCACCAGTTCTACATAATATAAAAGTATTTTATTTTTTCTGTATATCTCCTGGTCCCTCGGAGCGCAGCTGCAAGTGGTTGTTCTCAGAAAAGTGAACACTGGATGGGTTTTCTGTACATCCTCTCTCTCTAAGGAGCGTAATTGCATGCGTGTAGTCTTATTTTAAAATGGGTGACTATAGCCGTGGTGTGCCGAGACACACACTGCTGTTTGTGTCTCTCACGCATACCGTTCGAGGTATTTGTTACGGGCAAATTTATACCGGGTTTTCACCCTCGATGGAACGCCGATGTGGATAGTAAAGCCGGGTTTGATGGATTTCTTCATTTAGGGGAGAATCTTTGATGCTTCATCAAACGGTTATTTGAGATAGTTAGTCTTAATTAGGATTATATGCAAAAAATTATCACTCGTCGATGAGAATTTTTTTTTTATTCTCAATTAAAATCCTGGAATGTGTGAGAATTAAAAATGGCATTCGAGCTGGGCAGAACAGCCGTATTTTATTAATATAATAATAATAATAATAATAATAATAATAATAATATTTATTCAGCATGTATACCCTTTCGGGCTTTTACATTTTGTACCCCTCCCTGTTTCCCCTGATATAAAATACAAAGTTATACAGAGTTATAAAGTTTACAGGTTTATACATTTTCTTAGACTAGCGTAAAGCTTTACAAGTTGTAACAAATTTTTAAAAAATTTTAAACGACTTTAGACATGTGATTTAACTAACTTACTTAACTAGCAGTCAGTTGAAACTAAAGATACACCGTATTTTATTAATTTCTTCATTTAGCGGAGAATATTTGATACTTCATCAAATATTTATTTGAGATAAATACTAAAGTCTTGATTAGGATTATACGTAAAAAATTATCACTCGTCGATGAGAATTTTTTTTTATTCCTAATTAAAATCCTGGAATGTGTGAGAATTTAATTAAAATGGTACTAGAGCTGGGTAGAAAAGCCGTATTTGATCAATTTCTTCATTTAGGAGAGAATCTTTGACGCTTCATCAAACGCTTATTTGAGGTAATTAGTTTTAATTAGGATTATACGAAAAAATTATTACTCAGCTATTTTAGGGAATAAAAATACAGGTGAAAACGAATTTAAAGCGACAATACAAATCAATTACTAAAACACGTATGAAAACAGCGAATTCAAGCGACTTCATATCGAACCATTGTTTTTATTGACATTATCTGTAAATTAATAATGCACTGCAAAAAATTTTGGCTGAAATTCCCAGGACATTTCGTGGAAATTTTTATGACATTAGAGTTCTACTGAAATTTTAAAAAATTTCGTAATAGAAAATTCAAAATTCTGTGGAAAAATTGACGGAAACTAAATTCCAGTTCAATTATTCTATGAAAATTAAGAGAAAGCAGAAAAATTCAGGTGACTTCAAGTGCATTCTTGACTTTTCAATTCAATTAATTAACAATTCAACGCAATTTGGGACTCAATCTTCATAATTTCATTGGAAATCCGAGTAAAATTAGGAATTCTCGTCTTTTCGCTGCTCAAATCACTCAAATTTCCTTATTTTTCCCCCTAAATCGAATCCAATATCATTCTCGTGAAAATGATTACTAGTCAACTGGCCGTGAAATTTAATTCATTACTAACAGTGTAAATTGAATTCATAAATGATTCTGAAAACACTTTTTTGCATGAATAAAATTTTTTAATGATTTTTTGTGCCATAAAATGCAAAAAAACTGCAAAAAAATTATCGATCTGGCAGTGAATTTATCTCCAGCCTTCGTGATGCACTGAATCCCCTCATATTCCCCCTGTCTGCATGTGTGTATCGTCCCTGAGGCGTGTTTGCAGTGCTTAGGTGCCCCATGTCGTACGAAGTCGCCAGGTTGAAACTCGATAGCACATCGATAGTCTCGTGTTTTACTATTGAAAATAAAATCACGATAGTTTTATTCTCCCCCCGGAAAACTTCTAATACATAAATATCGAGACAGTTGCCACTCGACAACATTGTGACGAAAGGAGTGAGAGATGTATTAAACGCGAAATTCGAAACTTGGATATACAAGATTAGAAAGGTGACAGCTGATATGCCTCTCTAGGCGTAACATAGTCACTGTGAGATATGTATTATAATTTTGATTGAGGTATTTAGAGAATGATGAAGACATTCGAGATATTGGGCGGAGATTGAGAGCGCTGGAACAATATCTATTTATTTCGACAGATGTTTCGTCATTCGATGATTCGGAACATTAGTGAGTGGTTTAGATCATGATCGATAATGACTGATGAATATAATCTCTTCATCATAAATATTGGTCTTTGAGGTGAGAACAATGCTTTTACTTCAAGGGCAGCTTTTTTTGTTCTGGAAATTTACGAAGTTGGAGATTACAGGTGTCGCTAAATAGACGGGGGAATTACACTGAATTTTTTAAATGACAGATCACTTCGGCTGTCTCACAAGTCTTCGTCTATTTTATTTCGATATAAAAACATTGGCTTGTGGCTCTTTTTGGTTTTAAAATTTTGATGTTCCAATGGTGTCAAATAAATATTTTATTTGAGTGATGTAAATAAAAATATCGGTTTACTTTCCCAGATGTTTTATTATTGAGTGGTTTTAGATCGTGATCGATAATAACTAAAGAACATCTCTTGATCAAAATATTGTTTTTTGAGGGGAGAACAATGCGCTTAGTTCAAAGATAGTGAAAATTCACTTTGATTTTAAAAAATGACAGATCAGTTCGACTGTCTTGAAATACAGATGAATTTTTTGTTTACCAAAAGTCTGTTTTTATTTTATTAGGTGTGAAAATTAATTTTCATGAGTCCTTGCATTTCTTCGAAGGATATTCGATTTTTTCACCACAGAGTCTATCTATTGCCGGCGAACGTGATAAAATCAATTCATTCTTCATTCAAGAACAATAGCTCTCTTCATTTAAACATTCTTTGAAATTAATCATCACACTTAACATTTCGATATAAAAACATTGTCTTGTCGTTATTTCTAGTTTGAAAATGTCAATATTTCAATGATTTTTAATAAATAAATATTTTATTCAAGTAATAATACAAATAATGATTAAAAAACATAATCTTTTGATCAAAAATATTGTTCTTTGAGGTGAGAACAATTGAGAAAACAATTCTTCTAGTTCTCGAATGCACAATTTCACTCTGAGAATTTACAAAGGACTGGCCCCTCCGAATGTCTTAAAATCCACATCAACTTTATATTTGCTAAAACTCTTTTTTCAATTTTATTCCGTCATAAATACATTTAAATATGTAAATATTCCTCATTCCTTTTGTTTCAATTCGTTCTCTTAATCATGATTTATTGAATTAGCTAACCAATAAATTTTCCCTCTTGTTACAGGTGACATTGAAGATTGCCTAGTGGCACCTGTGTCCCAAGGTCAATTTACCCCCCTCCCCGAGGCCCTTTGCTGGGCAATTCTGGAATTAACATCGCAACGGCAAGCAGCCACCCTTGACACTCTCCGTTCAGCCCTGAGGAATGCCTTCCCCACGATGCAGCGACCCGGTCGTGACTTGGTTTACGATGCACTAGCCAAGTTGATGCAGGAGAGGAAGATTTATCACACGTCGCAGGGCTACTTTGTCGTAACACCGGAGACAAGAAGGCTGAGAAGAGACTCGGGTGGATCGAGGAGAAATTCACGTGATGTGGGGAGTTGCAGGGGACAGGGTGGTATGTTGATGAGCAATGACGAGGCAATGGCACTCGTTCACGGGGAAATGCTCACCCTCAGGGATGGTAATGTGACGCATCAGGCTGTACAAACGAATCTCGCTGATGTCATTTGTGGAGGTAATTGTATAAACGAGTTAATATCGTAGGAATAATTTCGATAAAATTAGCTGTAAAAATTACGGAACAATTCACGTAATCCGCAACGGGGAATCGTTCTCCGGCAATTTTTGTAAGAATGGAAGAGAAGAAATCTGAAAGGTTCTGTGAATTCTCAGGTTCATCACCGAACAAAGTACGAAATTGTCACGTAATTTTTCCCGAGGAAGTAAAATATTACAGAAACTTGCCGACTTATTATGCCGACGAAATAAAAAATTCTTGAACGTTCAACAATTTTTAGGAAGCTGGTGAGTTATTTCTACGTTTCGTTCCGTAAAATTTCTCAATCGTTGGGGAAAAATTACGGAACGACTTGTTGTCCTCATAGCGGTGAGTCATCAGACGGGTGGTTAATTTTTACGGAACAAATCGTAGAATTTACGTGGCGATTCGTACAATTTCAGTTCTGACTTACACTTTTTAGTGAATTTTTCTCTCCGTGTGAAACAGATTTATTTGAGGAAATTTAACCAACTTAATAGAAGAATACTTAATATCTTTCGCAAAAATTAAATTTTTGTCGTGATCATCAGAAATATTAGTAGAAGAATTCGAACTGTTGCCAGGAAAAAGTATAATCTATCGTACAAAAATCATTTGATTTCAGACAACTTCATAGGTTTATACAATAGAAAAAATACATTGACGACGAAAGAATAATTTTCCCAAAAAAAATGGCCCCTTCGAAATTATTTAGTTTTGCGAATAACAATACGAAATTATTGAGTTACGCAATACGAAAGTCTCTCATGCGCGATTTATTTAATTAAAACTTTTCAGATTTTCATATTTCTCATCTTTTGCCACATAAAAAATTCTGTCTTGAGCCAAAAAATTCTCATTCAATCATACAGTCTTCGTGTTTAAATCGTGGACACTACGAATTTCCTCTTCTAAGAGATTTGACCTGAAAAGATGATCTATTTACCTAAAGAAATAGGATCAAAAACTATTAATTAAGCTTTAAATAAAAATGATTAATTGAAAAAACTAAAAATAAATTTAAAAAAATGAAAATAATTAATATTAAATAATTTTTGGTATAAATGTCCAAAAAGGAGTGATGTCATAATGCAGACAATTCTTCAATTAGCCGTAACTTCCCGATTCCTAAAAAAAAACATACGAATCTCCACTTTTCCATTCAATTGACGCAAATAAAATGCAACAAATAGATATCTCGCTTCCTCCACAACATTAAACCTCCCAATCCCCCGAAACATTTGACCATAAAACAGAATATCGGCGCCAAGAATGTCACAAAAGCATCACACATGGTTTAAAACCAGAGTGTTTCCTACCCAGACACGCGAGAGTCACGTTTATGTTGTTGTCGTCCTTGGGGAGATTCCACCATGCGCTGCCTGTTACGATTGGGGAGCTGCCGGTTTACCATTTGCTCCCGTCCCATCCTTTCGACTGGAAAAGCATTGACCGGTTACCCTGTTAAAATTCTCATACTCCATCGCTCTCTCTCTCTCTCCCTCGCCAGTAATAAACCCACGCCCCATTCTCCCTGGAGATTCCGATACTCCCTGTCTTCGTCCTTTAACTACATTTTCATGTTTCATAAAAATTCACAATTTATTGCGCACTTGTTTCTACAATCGACCACTGGAAAATTATTGCATTCGATGTGTGGGCGTGTGGTGTTTAAAAACTGGTGAATAAATTCTTTAAAATGATGGAAGACAAAAATGGAATGAAAATCCTTGAGAGGATAAAGACCCCGTGGAATGCGGTCGACAACCCCGTGAAACGATCAACTTCATGTCCTTTTTTTCATCCTCAAGCTTCACGTACGGAACGTGCGCCCTTTTGTTGCCAGTCTAACGGTGTTCACTGGTGACCGTATGACCGCACTTGTCGCAAATCCCTTGTCTGAAGGGGGGAAAAATAAAGGACAATGGGGGAGAAAAATTTGGATAACAAATGGAATAGCATGGGCCGATGATTTGCATGTTCAAAGGGGGAATGGAGGCTTATGCTGTACCCTCGGGGATAGACAAGACAGCGAGTAACCCTGTGTCGATGTTATACCCACGAAAACGTTTAGTAAAACCGATATATTAGCTGTTAGTCACGACAGGGTCTACCGTTAACCCAACATGACAGAGTGACACGCCGGGCCAAGGATCAACTGTCACGTACTTGTCTCCACCTTTTCTCCATTATTTTCCATTCTCACGATAATTTGGTCCTCTCAGTGTTGAGCATTCATTATCGGTGAGTGTGATAACAGTTGAGGGGAGGTTTAAATGTCAGGGAAGTGGGAAACTATTGGATTAGGGGATTTTTGAATGATGTCTTCTGGCGATAATTCTAATTGAGTCATTAGATGTTTGGGGGATGCGACGAAACTGGGAGAATTATTTCCAAATTTGGATGGGACTAGTTAAGAGGGCGCATGATTGGCTAGTGATTTATGCATGTTATTTTTGATCATTATGTATTAATTTATTCATTAAAGAGGAGTTAATGTCAGTTTTTATTATTTTCAGATTTGAAAAAAAATATGAGAAATGATCTTCACAAATTTTCGCGATGAAAAATTCACGTTGTAAGGTTTATGAAATTAGGTGCATCTATATATACGCATTTTTTATTCATGAGCTGCTATAAACATGAAATATTCCGAAGCCTAGCATATGCTTAGCGAAATAGATTGCAGACCAAAAATGTTTCCCCTATTTTTTAATAGAGGATTTAATAGAGGAAAAAAGTGACATTTCGGGAAATCTCAGGTTTGCAAATGACAATTTCATTTGCATTCCGTAATAATTGTGAACATTCTGGTGAATTTATTCTTGAGTTTTTCATTAATTGAAAATTTGGCATGATTCAATGCTCAATATTCATGTTCAATCAAACTTTCAAGTAAATTGTAATATTTCCGTCTTATTCTTACTTGAAATTGATGAGTTCAATTGAAATTTCAGCTGAGTCATTGAAACATATCGATTTGACCAGAAATTTAATGGCGACCGTAAATTTCTGTTGAATTATTCCCTGAAAATTGGAAAAATTGAGGTGAATGCATTCTTGAACTTCAAATTAATTGACAATTCAGCTCAATTTGATACTGGATCTTTATATTTCATTGACAATTCGAGTAAATTAAACAATTTCTGTCTTATTTCTACTTAAAATTATGAATCACATGTTTTTACTTCCGAATGGAAGCTTTGTTTTTTTATTTCTAAATTGAGTTCAATGTCACTCTTCTGAAAATTCCAACTAGATTCTTCATTAAATTATCATTCTCCAATCTATGCAAAAAAAATGTGAAAATCGGAAAAATCAGTCACAAAATCATTATTTATGTTATTATTGAGTAAATTATTAAAATACTTTCCAAGAATACAGAAGAAAAAGTTTATTCACAAATACTCCCAATCACCCAAAAATGTCACGACCTCCAGTGAGTCAGTTACCCTTCCCTTGACTGATTACCCACGTACAGAAGATCTCGCAATTAGCACCAACACCCACTGATAAATGATCCTCACACAAACTAATCCGTGCAATTCTCTATTCCTCAAGGTAATCCAAACGATAAAGTTCTCTTCGCAAGATGCAGATCAGTGCCAGGACGATTGGAGAGGCGGCATTCGCTGCGACTCTGGGGTTCAGCTCGTAGATTACACAGAAGCGGAAGTTCCCGTTCATTACCACGAAGACCGGAGAGAAGTGACACCTCATCAAGCGCCGAGTATGCCAGTACAGACAGTGCGCCTCACAGTCCCACTAGTGAGTAACCCCAACGGGGAATGGCTTGTACCATTAACATTAACACGGGTGACGGGTGATTAATTAACATAAAACGCCTATTTAACACATGCAGCTTAGCATAATGTAGAGAAGAAAAACTTCACGGCAAACTGAATAATCACACGAGAGATTAGTATGATGAGGAGCTTTTTAGTCACCCCTGAACTGGCCAATCCATTCCTCGTTCCTATGGTGTTAGACGTAATTACCGAACCATTAAGTTGCAATTATATTATTGAAAAAAAAAGGTCTGTCTGGTATATTTTCAGAGAAGATAGGCCTACTATCAAGGCTGTTTCGGCGCAGCACGAGGAGGAAGGGAACACCGTTGATGGGTACTTTCAGTGCACAGTATCCGCCTACCGAGTGGTTCAATCCCAGAGTCGTTCATCTCCACAGCGTTGCAACGCAAACCCGAGCTGCCAGTCCGTCGGTCAGTTTTTTCATGACATTCACTCATTTTCTCATGAAATATCATGTGTAATTACTGGTAACGAGTAGTTCAAATAAATCCTGTAATTATTTAAATTTTATAATTAAATTTCAAGAGTTTCTGGGGTGGGACGTACACTGTTCGGATTTTTTTGAGTAATTGCAGCGTTTGAATTTTCGATTTTATTATCTGGGAAATTCAATAAAAAAACTTTTACAATAGCCAATAATTTTGATTATTGCATATATGAAGAAATTCAAGAGAAATTTGAAATTCGATTGATAATTCAATAAAATTCCAAATTTTGAATATTTTGAATTTCAATGAATTAGAAATTTAAGGATGAATTAATCTCAATTGTCTTCATTTCTGTGAATTTTCATGTAATAATTGCACTCAAATTTACAGTTTCCATCAAGTTGCCAATAAAATTTTGAATTTAGAATTATAAAATTCCTTGAAATTTCAAGGGAACTATAAAGTGATAAAAATTTTCAAGAAATGAACCGAAAATTTCACCCAAAAATTGTTAGCAGTAATTTCTACTGAAAATGAGTGAAGTTTGAAACCTTCAACAAAATTCAAATAGAACATTTCATGAAATTAACTTGAAATTTTCAACTAGAAACGATTGAGTCGATCAATTCCTGAGACAGTAATTCAATCAGTTACTTAAATCCCCAGATGATGGAAGGCCTGGACCAGTCGCAAGCCAGTTTCCAAGTGTGGGATGACTCGAGTTCCGTGCGTTCAGCGACTTTACCTCGTCGTCACAGACGCCAGCCAAGCGGTGACTCAACCAGCCTCTTGGCAAATTCAACGCCACGCAGCTCTCGACGACATCGTTCGCCTTGCTCCACCCTACCACGCTCGAAATGCTCGAGCTTGAGCCGATGCACCTCCAGAGCGTCTGTATTACCATCGAGTGCGAGCCAGGATCCTTATCAGGGCAGGGTACAGAACCAGAATGGTAAACACTCGAGTAACTCATCGCCAAGCAGAAGTGGCGGTAGTTCTGGGTCCGTTAGAGCTACTAACGGAAGTCCGGCTAAGACAGGGACACTTGGAAGGTCGAGTACGAGGCACAGCTCGAGAAGGCCGAGTCATGATTCGACTGGGAGTGGTACTAAATCCTCGAATAGCTCTCCACAGCATAAAGTAAGTCATCATGATATTCTCTGAGCTGCATTGACAGGAACAACAACACATCTCAAAACTAATTTCTTCAGCATGAACACTTCACGATGAAGTAAAAGTTTCTTGGCTCGAGAAATCGTTTTGTTTGTTTGCAAAATCAAAATCACTTTCATATTGCATGAATACAGAATTCATGCGAATCCAAATCTCCAGACATTTCTGAACTATGAGCATCGTTTGCACTCAATCGCAATGAGCGCAAAAGAAAGGAATAGCTTCTATTGAATATGGGATATATAAATAAATTGGAAATCCTGTGGATTGAACTTCAACTTCTTTTCTTTACTTAAATCGCACGAGGAAGAAACGTCAGCTCTCTGCGGATCTCTCGAGAGACTAAATGCTGGTCACGAAGACCAAAGAATATTCGTCACCTAATGAAAGAACTCTTTGTGTCGTTTTCCCTATGAAATCATTGTTTATGTTTATGTAAACTCTGAGGCGATTCTCTGTCAACCGTCATTTCTTAGCTGCATGGATTCTATGAATTTGACTCAATAATCCAACAGCTTCATTTGGTTATTTCATACTCTCCTTATCTTTCCAAGAATATGTTCTTATTTCTGTGGAATGACATTATTTTTTCTCCCAGTGTTGCAATTCATATTCTTTCAAGTGCCACCAATTATCTTGAAATCCCATGACAAATGATTTCCTTTCCAGATCCTGCAGAAAACCTGCTCGAGTCAGTCAACCCACTCCAGCATAAAATCGGCTTCAAGTGGGAAGCTGTCCTCCTCTCCCCTGAAGACCACCACAATATCGTCAAAGTCATCGCCCCTGAAAATCATTCAACAAGGAGCTCTAACTCCCCTCCAGGAAGCCCAAAACTCGATAACCCTCCAAGTATCCACAAACCTCTCCCCCGTGAGTCCACCTCAAGAACGTGCCATCTCCAGCAGTGTAACCCTGGCGTCAAACGCCTCCAGTACCACCACGATATCCGGCTCCCCGGGTACCAAGATTTACGTCCACCAAAATAATTCACCAATGCGTTCCGTAATAACATTCGAAAACGGTACAGCCAAGAGCGTAATCGAGAAGGACACGTGTACCAGCAACAAGGAGAAACAAGAGTTGGTGAGTGAAAAAGTGCAGAAGGCAATGCTGGAGAAGGAGAAACTGGTAAATTCCAAAACAGATGACGAGAAGAATCGCAAAGTCGAGGAGGACTGGAAGCCGATTAAACTGGAGAGACCGTCATCCCTGTACGCTACAAAAGACCTTAAATCAGAATCTGATAAGGAGAACAAACCAAAGGTGGATGAGGACGCGCCTAACAAGCTTAAACTCACAAATCGCCTGAATAACAGTCAAGCGCATTTGATCGAAGGTTCTGCCAACAACATTGACAAGAATTCCAATGACAACTCAACTGTAACCGCTCCAACAACGAAGAATACAAACGACGCTATGAACAACTCACGAAAGCTCAGTCTGTCCTTATCGAAAGACGCCTTGAGCTATCGAAACCTTCTCCGTCCAGGCTCGAAGAACAACATCTCGTCGAACCCTCCGTCACCCACGAAATCGTTTGACGGTTTCGGAGGCTCATTTAACAACGTCTACATCGAGAACCTCGAGAGCGTGAAGACCCACAGAGCCCCTCAGGGATCAGAACCGAATCTCGAGAAGACTGTGAGTCGAGGAGACCTCTATTCCTACCCAAGCCTGAGCGACATGCAGGTCCAGTTCACCAGTCTCGCCGCCCAAAAGATCCTCAAGGGCTGCCCAATCAACAGCGTCGACACCCTCGTCGAAGTTAACATGGCGGCTGCTGAGAAACCCAACAATCGAGATGTTACCGTGCACACCGACTTCGGTCTCGTTTGAAAGAAATAGTATAGCCTTGTTCATTCGGACACGTTGAGAGTCATTTTACAGAAGTGAAAATTATAATTTCTTTCTTGAACCAAATTATGAAACTCGTAAATTCGGAAAGAGATGACAAGCAGAATAGTCGCGGAGGACTGCAAGTCGATTAAACTAGAGGCCGTTATCCCTGCGTCCTACAAGCCCCTAAATCAGAATGCAATAAGAACAAACCATAGGTGGATGAGGACGCGCCTAACAAGCTTAAACTCACAAATCGCCTGAATAACAGTCAAGCGCATTTGATCGAAGGTTCTGCCAACAACAGTGACAAGAATTCCTATGACAACTCAACTGTAACCGCTCCAATAACGAAGAATACAAACGACGCTATGAACAACTCACGAAAGCTCAGTCTGTCCTTATCGAAAGACGCCTTGAGCTATCGAAACCTTCTCCGTCCAGGCTCGAAGAACAACATCTCGTCGAACTCTCTGTCACCCACGAAATCGTTTGCCGGTTTCGGAGGCTCATTTAACAACGTCTACATCGAGAACCTCGAGAGCGTGAAGACACTCAGAGCCCCTCAGGGGTCAGAACCAAATCTTGAGAAGACTGTGAGTCGAGGAGACCTCTATTCCTACCCAAGCCTGAGCGACATGCAGGTCCAGTTCACCAGTCTCGCCGCCCAAAAGATCCTCAAGGGCTGCCCAATCAACAGCGTCGACACCCTCGTCGAAGTTAACATGGCGGCTGCTGAGAAACCCAACAATCGAGATGTTACCGTGCACACCGACTTTGGTCTCGTTTGAAAGAAATAGTGTAGTCTTGTTCACCCAGATACGTTGAGAGTTATTTTACAAAAGTTGGAAATAAAGGTTTCTTTTTTAACCAAATTATGAAGTAATATTTTTGAGTCAAGGAGAAACGAGCTTAGAATTAGATTCTTAATGTTATAGAAATACATGTTATATCACAGCTCTGGTTATTCGGGGGAGTCTGTGCCAGCCATTCCAACGAAAAGTATTCGATAGTTGATTCATAGTGGCCTGTAATATAGTAAGATTTCAGTTATTTTCAAGCATTAGATTAATACGTTTATACATGAGACATGAATATAAAAAACCCCATTATGTTTTTGAAATTTCCAATGAATTCAGCTATGAGAGTGTCGTATATATAAATATAAAACTCGCCTTGAAATTAAAATACGTAAATGAACCCTGTCCTGTAATTAAAGAAAAATAAATTAACAATAAACTGTCATTCATAATTCGTGAAAGAATAAATCCGTATTTTTTATTTTACGCGGTAGATTGAAAATAGCTCTCGCAATTAGTGAAAATGATGAGAGAATGTTTTTTTTAATCAACGAGCTTCCTCACAGTGAGTCAAGGCCTCTCGTGTCTCACTCTGGATCTGATTCAAAAGTTCATAAAACGAAAATGAGTGGAAATGAAAATTAACAGCATCCAAATAGCTGAGTATCGTCCGCAGCTTTGCATCGCTTTACCACGCTAAAACGATTTGCTAAAGCGGATTATCTATTCGACGATTGCTTTTGTCCAGAGATCCCCGAAGAGTCTCGTTAGGCCTTGAAAATTAATCCAACATTCCGGTAGATGCGAAATGTTGAAATTCATGTAAACAGATGAAATAACGGTAAAGCATGTATTATATAAACAACGAGATGTTGATTAACTGAAGTATATTGAAAATTAGCTAGCGGATCCATCAAATTTACTCACAATTGGCGAATTAATTTTTTCATTGAACGTGAAAAGTACTAGTGCAATTAAAAGAAAAATCCGTCTAAGTGCCAAAACTGTAGTACTAATTCGAATCGCCTTAACGGTTAGCAGATTTCGGTAGAAATTTTAATGAATCATTAATTGCAACTACTGCTGCCGTTTTCAACGAAAAATTGACATGCAGAAAGTAAAGGCACAATCGCATCGCGATCATTACGTCAATAATGTTATGAGAGAGGACTAGAGTACCTCGGCTTTGTACATTTATACCTTGCATTATATAGAATTACGATCAACAGTTGAGATTCCGTCGCATGAATCATTTCCCTTCCCACTTTTTTACCAACTAACTATCAGAATTCCTCGACTTCACACTAAAAATTATCGAAACACTTGTAAATTATCGGATAGACTAGGTGTTATGCATAAGATCAATGTTATTACAACTTTGTAATGTAAAATATCAAGTTTAATCAGCAATAAATAAGCTTTGGTTTAAATAAAAAGATGAGTAATCAATGGGACGACGTTTTTATGTATAAAAATTATGAAGCTTTATTCAGTTAATAGTGATGAAAAAGATACATAATGTCGGAGTACTTTCATTGTCTTCACAGGTGACATAACAATTACTATTATTGAATCATGGAAAAGTCATGTCAGCCGGAAGAGTTTCAAAGCAGAAAAATTGAGGCGAAACTCTTCGATATTGGAAAATCCTGCAATTCTAATATTATTTGTGAAATATTTTTGACTGCAATTACATGCAATAATATCAATTCACCTAGGAGATTCGAAGAATGTACAAAAAATGTAGCCCTCTGCTAGAATCTAAAATAAGGATCCGTGTTTGGATCCGATGACTTATAGTATTTAGGGGAGATTGAGCAAACTGAACACTTTCGACATTTTTTCAAGTGATTTCTGTAATTGAGCAACAAATTCATCAATTGAGATCAGTCTAGGCTTATCTCAAAGGAAAACAATTGTATTTTACATTTTAAAAGTTATCCCGTTTCTTTGAAAATTGAATGAGTTGTTAACATTCCAAAAACGTCAAAAGTTTGCCACAGTTACCCCCATATCCCCTGCCAGTGCCGAATATTGAATATGATTCATATTGTTATGAATGTCTATTGTTCCAATTTTTAAAGAATGCATTCAATTAGATTCCTACAGTTCTTTCTGCAATTGTAAAACTCTTCTCTGACGTTAATATTACTGTTACAATTCTTTGAATCATCATATGTAATATTCATGTTTGGAAATTTTGTATATCGAAATGGACCAACTTCCGCCTTGGTAACAGTTAGAAATGTGTTTTATCGTATCAAACAACTTTTACTTGTTGAAAATTATCATGTTTCTCCAATGTAATAATTGAAACCGCTGAATTATCGAGGATCCTTCTTTTTCTATAGTATAAATTCTACTAGACTGTCACATTCTTTCATGGTTAGAAATGCTGTACGTCTAAATAACACAATTTCTCCCTTGGTAATCGTCAGAAAAATGTTCTACCGTTTCAAACAATTTTCGCTACTTGAAAACCGTCTTCTTCCTTCATATAAGTGTAATACTTGCAATTGGTGAATTATCGAGAATCCTTTTCTCTCCACAGTAGAAATCCTATCCTTCGAATTCCTCCACGTAGAAAATATCTCATCACAGGATTTTCAAATATCAACAGCGTCTTCCCTTGAACCGATCGACTCACATGAACTTATCTCAAATAATTACTCGATTCAATAGAATTTTCTAATCCAAGATTCTTCTTGCACTTGCTGTTCTCCGGCCAGTCACAACGATCGTTGTTCCAGTGGAGGCCACTGGGACACGACAGCTCCTGAATTTGCCCGAAATTGCATATTAAGTACTTGGAGCAGTCGGACTTGTGGGGCATGAAGAGTCTTCCTTGGCACTCGCCGATGGGAATGGCAACTGGAGGGGGTGGGCCTGCTTCAACTTCGACTGTGTCATCTGTGTCTGGGCCCACTGTTGATGGTGAAGACGTTGAAGTCTGCGCAGGGGTGGAGGACTGAGTTGGAGCTTCTGGGGGAATGATTGGAGGCCTCCCTGTGACAGAGCACGTCGGTCCTGGAGGGTAGTTCCTTAATACTCTGTTCATGGTTCGTAGAAGAGGACTCGGTTCACAGCCACAACGATTTTTGAAATCATCCAAGTCCAGTGCCCACACCATTCCCCCACCGAGGCCCATCTTCTTGATGAATTCTGCTTTCAATTTCATCTGTTCTGCATCGTCAAAGCCCACCCACTGATCCCCTGAATATGCGTAGGGCCCAATTCGCCGCTCTGGGTCTTGAATTACACTCCATCCTTTCTTTAAAGTTCTCTCACAGATCTAGAAGAATGAGAAAATAATGTGATCGAGGGGACCATAATGACCTGTCTAATTCGGCGACCAGATTGAATTGACATTTTATAAAATTTTAGTAATATCATAAGATGCCTGGTTTGTTCACCCATAGCATTGTTTAAAAATTTTGCCTGAAATTTCAAGGAATTGTCATTAAAAATTCAAAATGTGAGGAAATCAATGGCAACTATAAATTTCACTTCCATTGCAAAAATTTCATCTGAAATTTGATTATTTATTCCCCTTACATTCAATTCCCTGTCTCCCTTTTGAAAATTACTAGTCAACTGTCCGCGAAATTTCAAATTGTCTCCTATTTTTCTTGAATGTACTCAAATTTTTGGCACCAAAACCATCTTTAACTCCCATATTCTTAAGACATTTTTTTTAAATGCTCAGAGGTCTTTAAATCTCGTGAAATTTTATGAAATCGTTATCGCTTTTTCGGAAAAAAATGGATGTACAAATTTTTTGCAGTGATTACTCCCCTCGGATCAAATCAACTGATGAGATTTTTTTCTCGAATTCCCCACGTAGTTGTTCAGAAAAAGCTAATCCGTTTACCTCGTAATATGCCAAGAATCCTCTAGCTCTAGTGGCTTCACCGGCCTCTCCACCACCATAAGTAGGTGCATTCAATCCCCTCTCACTCCTCTCAGCAAGACTGAACGATTGTCCATAAAGTGGTGCTCCCATGACAATTTTCCTGGGTGGTGCTCCCTTCTCGATCCAGTAATTAATAGAGAAGTTGGCGTTGAACGTTGGCTCCCAGTCGTCACTGCGCACGTAAAGTGGTGCTACGTGACCGGTTTTCTTGTCCCACTGGCCATGGAAGTCGTAAGTCATCACGGAAATCCAGTCAAAGTATTTCGATAATTCAGCGACTTCGTAGCCGGCGTCTATAACTCGTTTGCTGGGTGATACTGCCGTTGAGAGCAAAAGTCCTTTGGGTTTGAAGGTCCTGCTGAGTTCTCGAACGAATGCTGTGAAGCTCTGTTTATCCGACGGTGGTCCTTTCGAACAATCGACCTAAAAAATTCAAAATCAAGCATAAAAAAGAATTAATCATAATCATAAAATTCAATTCCGAAAAAAATAGAAATGAAAAATTTGGAATCAGCACCTGCCAGCAGACTGGATACTCCCAATCTAAATCCAATCCTTCAAATCCGTACTTCTCTATGAATTGAACCACATGAGTGATGAATCGCGACCTGGCTGATGGAGAATTCACAAGCCTGCTGTATTTATCACCAGCTGAGTCGTTCCAGCCACCGATACCTATCAGTACTTTGATTCCCTTTGCTTTGTAGGCAACCACTCGTTCGTAAAACTCTAAAACGATGATGAAAATTAATTCTTTTCCTGTGATCAGTTCAAGTAAAACGTGAATATGAAAATTTTTCATGTATGGGACACTTTGTTAGAAGAAATTCTGTAAGAATTCTCTAATAGATTGAGTGGATTCTTCTACATAAGTTATTCTGTCAACATTTTTTCTAATATAAAAATTCTTACACAGAAATCTCATAAGGTTTTTTACCTTGAATTCTGCAGAGAAAAAAAAATTTTGAGAGAAGAATTCACATGGAAAAATCAAAACCTATCGCCTTTTTTCTATGAAATACATATCAAAAGATGGCACAGCAAAGTTTGACGCAGAATTTTCCCACAGAATCGTCGCAGAACCCGCGATTTATAATATTCACTATGTATCTCACAATGACGAGATCCCGGAGTTCGCCTGAATATTTCATTAACGACTCTCATTTAGCTGTTCGTGAATGATCCCCTGAAGTATTTCCGTTGCCATAATCATTATCATTGCCATCGTCACCATAAATACATACTATTATCGATATCCGCCCAAGGGTCATGTGGTTTGATGGTGCTAGTCGACCCATCGAGAACGGCAAATCCATAAATCACATGAGTGCACAAGTCGGCGTCGATATCCTCAGGAAGATACTTCCCCCCCTCCTGTCTATACCACGCCCAATTGGTGAAGTAGCAAATGACCTTGAACCCGTCCTCCCCCTTCTGAACATGATTCTCCGGGTGCGCAGCGGGCATCTTCTTCGGGGGTGACGCCATCCATTCTAAACTCTCTCCAAACGCAGGAGGTTTGATGGGTCTGTCATGCTCAGTCGGAGGTTCCGCCAAGACTTGTTGCAGCGTGTGCATCAGGGGGTGTTCTCCCTCGCCGCACCTGCCCTTGAAGTCGTCGAGGTCGAGGGCCCACACCATTCCTCCCCCCAGGCCCATGTCCCGAACGTACTGGGCCTTCTGACGGATCATGTCTGCGTCGTCGAAGCTCACCCATTGGTTGCCTTTGTAAGCGTAAGGACCCATCCGCCTCTGGGGGTCCTGGTAGACCTTCCAGCCATGGTTCTTTATTCTGTCACAGATCTCGTAATATGCTAGGAATCCCCCCGCTTTCGTGAATTCCCCGGCAATTCCAGCACTTGCTGGAGAATTCAGACCTGTTCCTGCGCTCGGATCGTTTATTGAAAAGGCTTGGCCGTACAGTGGCATACCTGTGGGTGGAGAACACATGATTACAATTATTTTTTATTCTGTACTAGGGGGCGTTTGGATACAACGGATAACAATCGTGAGACAATGGATAATTGTCTATATTGTTGCGTATTTGTTCTTTTCCTCCCTCTCAACCACCTTCATGTACCATCGTCTCCTTCTTTCTTGTTATTCTTTTGACGTGGATACGTCTATGGTTTCAATATGGGGGATCATTTTGGGAAAGGATCCTTATGTGCAGCACCATCTATCGGAATTCTAGAAAATTCTAGACATTTCGAGGGAATTCGAGGAGTTTCTAGGAAATTTGAGAAAGAAGGAAAGACCACGGATGTATCCACGTATAATTTTTTTCTTCGTTCTTAGTCCGCGGACATATCGTTTCTTTTTATACTTTTTTTTATTATTTATTTCGCCGCGAATTCTTTTAATAAAGTTAATTATTATAAAATAAAATGGGTATGGGTCATACTTTATAATATCGAGAAAAAAGTTCTGATTTCAGGATTCTATCGTACCAAAATCGAAAAAATCCTGGGAATTCGTGAAATTTCGATCATTCTGGGAAAATTGTCTCTAAAAATTGGACAAAAATTTTCAACTGTGAATCATTTCAATATGCGTCTAGTATAGTTGTACTTGAATTATGCCACATCATCGTTGTTTTTTTAGAAAATGTTAGTTCTTAAATGCAGCACATTTGGGTTATCAAAATGAAAACATTCTCGTTCTTGGATTGATTATTTTTTCACTCCTAAAATCAGCCTATTCATGGTTGAGTTCTATTATGAATTATCGCTGAATTTTATGATTCTATTTCGATAATTCACAAATTCTTCTTTATCAGAGATGTCACCTGACATCCTAACTCAATTAATGTTAAATTACTATTCAATCGATCCTGCATTTTTGATAGATTTTGAGTGTTCTCGTTTGAGAACTTCTCCCACCTTTTACCTTCTGAAATTGAATGGGTAGTTTCTTATTATAAAAAGCATGCTCATTGCAACCATAAGGTTATTAAAGTCAGCAACTTTGTTCTGAAAACTAGGAACTTCCTGTCACCGCGCAAAAATTCTGAAAACCTTAACAATCTGGCAGCCTCCAAAATCTGAGTTTAATGGAATCCCGAAAGTGATTTATTCCATTTTGCGCATCCACAATCATTCGATATTTCTTACCCATCACAATACTCCTCGGCGGTGCGCCCTTGGAAATCCAATAATTGATGGAATAATTAGCATTGAAGAAATAAGCGTCATCGGTTTCATGATGATACATGGGAGCTACGTGGCCAGTCTTCTTGTCCCACTGACCGTGATAATCGTAAGTCATGACTGCGATCCAGTCCAAGTACTTCGCCAATGTGGGCACATCGTACCCTTTATCAATCACCAGCTTGTTCGGCGATACAGCTGAAGAGAGGAGGAGACCCCTGGGTTTGAATTGTGCACTGAGTTCTCGTAGAAGAGCGGCGAATCCTTCTTTGTCGGACGCTGGTCCTTTCTTGCACTCGACCTGTGCAGACCAACATAATATCATTCTCGTCGGTCGTATTCCTTTTTGCAATGAGAATGATCATAAACAATTAATCGAAAGAAGGAATTTCGAATCTGACAGGAAAAAGGCGTAATGAAAGGGCATCAACACTCGGCGCTAGTCTAAGTTTAAAATTGCTGTGCACTGCATAATGACCTAGAAAATTATAAGTATATTTCAGTAGCGAAGAGGTCAAACGGTTTAAGTCGATTTTGGCTATGTCAGAGACTCCAGGGCTTTGTAAAACTAAGTAGCACTTGGCGATCATTTCAGATCATCAAAATGAAAAAACAACCAAGATCACGTTCGAAAGATAATCCCCCCGGGCCTTACCTCAAGAAATTATTATTCATGGTACTAGATTTCTACGCACCTGCCAGCACACAGGATACTCCCAATCCATGTCCAACCCATCGAACTTGTACTTCTCAATAAACCTAATGGCATGTTCAATGAATTTCCTCCTAGCAGCAGGAGAATTAACCAATCTGCTGTACTTATCGCCAGCGGAGTCATTCCACCCCCCGAGAGCCAGCAGCACCTTCAACCCCCTCTGCTTATACGCCACAACCCTGTCATAAAATCGATTGTCAAAATCAGCCCAAGAGTCGTGCGCCCTGATGGTCAGTTCAGAGTAATCCAGCACTGCGAATCCGTAAACAATGTGCGTGCAGAGGGTGTGATCGATGTTCTCAGGGAGGTACTTCCCTACACCCTGACGGTACCAAGCCCAATTCGTGAAGTAGCAGACAACCTTGAAGTGTCCGGACAGGGGAGATACTTTCGAGGGGTCAATTATCGGCGGGGGAAGGGGCTTGGGCTTCTCGGTCCACGGTTCATTCCAGTTCTGAGTTGTTGTTGTAATCGGATTTTTCGTGGGCTTGACTGGGCGACGAGTTGTTGTGACGTGAACGAAAGGGTCCACTGGGGGCTTCTCTGTGTAAACGGGTTCTACTTTGCACTTGGCACGTGCCGGCCAGTCGCAGATGTGAGTTTGCTTGTTGAAGTGGAGGCCTGGGGCGCAGGAAAACTTCTCGTGTCGACCCCACAGACAGGCGTGGTAACTCGCACAGTCTTCTGGGACTTCACTGAAACTGCCGGGGATGCAGGGCTCCTGGAAGTGGAATGTCAGAGTAATGGAAGTTGTTGGAGGAATCGCTGACTGTTTAGTCAATCCTTTTAGATGAAATCCTGTTAGAAATGCTCTGCAGCTAGTAAAAGGATATTCATTGAGAACGAAATAACGGATTTTGTTTCTGCTACAGAAATTACTCTCTTGAGGTTTTGTCTGCAGAAGTTTCTCAGTATAAATTGCTGGGGTTTTACTTCTGCAGTTCTATTCAACTCTCGTCGAAAAATAGAATAAGAAAAACTTGGTAGGGGAGTTATGGACAGTCATGTCAATACAAAAATGTAAAACTATTGTTCGTTTTCGTAGTGAACGTAAAAATGGGAATGTAAGAATATTCTGTTTTTGTTTTTTTTCGTATCGATATTTTAATATCCGAAATATTTTAGAAATTTGTCGTAATTAGAAATTTGTCGTAAAAACGTAACATTTCACTGATTTAACCATTCCTTTTTGGAATAAACACGTCAAGAGTTTCTATTACTAAATATCAGGGACATAAATCGAATCACGAATCAATTTACTGGTGGACAAAAAAACAGCTTCCACCGAAACATGATAACTTTCGTAGTAGTAATTGTTCTCGTGAGATGTTTATACGTCTTCCGGGTGAATATATTCGTTTTACAAAGAATTATATGAAGCTCCGGCTTGAAAAGCGACTCACATTTTTCGTCTTATCCTTCATGACCAGTGCCGAATTCTTATTCGGCTTGTCTTTGCATGGATTCTTGAAAGCCCAGTCGCACATGCTCTTCTTGTCATTCCAATTCAAACCAGGACCGCACTGCTGAATAACAAGATTATTATTCACGCAAATTAAGAAGTGAGTGCAGGAATCAGGATACGCGTAGTACTGGCCATGCTGGCATTCCTTCGGTCCTACGACAGGACCATCAACGGGTTTCGGTGTTGTCGGTCTTGTTGGACGTGACGGGGGTCTTGTTGATGGTGTCGTCCATGCTGTAGTCGTCGGTTTCTGGGTTGTTGGTCTTTGAGATATCCATGGCTTCTGGGTACTTCCGCTTGCTATAATTATTCCAAAGGACTTGGCTGAATTTCAACGCGACATTCACGAATTTGTGGCGAAAATTCGAATGAAAGATTAATTCAGTAGCGAAGTGCTCAAACGGTTTAAGGCGATTTTGACTACTCATGAGTTTTCAATGAATATCTCGCAATCTAAGGCAGATAGCAAAATTTCTGTTTTGGCCTTTTCGGTAGAGCACATTAAGAGCCTCAAAAAAGATATTTACGAAAATTTCGCTATCTCCCTTAGATTTTGAGATATTTCTCGAAAACTCAGCTAAGAGCTAAGTCGACTTAAACCGTTTGACCACTTCGCTACTGAATTAGTTTCCATCAAATAAGAAAATCGAGACTTTGAGCCGTTTAGGAATATTTGTTACTTTTGTAAACGACATTTTCAACACCCGTTACCGAGGGATTCCTTTCGAATGCTAAACAGCTATGAACAACCAACAGAACAATACCACGTAAACGGTACATTGCACCCATTCGAACTTATTCACGATATTGTTAACACGTTTGAACAGAGAGCACGTACTGTCTGTTGTCAAGAAGAATTTAACTGATGAATACTAGGCCTGAAGCCGTGTCGCTAATTCTCTCGCCCAAGGATGGAAACAGGTTTGATCGCGACTAAATGAGCGGACAGACCATCACTCAATCAATACTGTATTAATTAGTAATAATGAAAACAGACGCCGCTGTGATTCTGTGGTGATTTAGCCGCCATGGTAGCGTCGAAGAAGAGTTGGTGCGTCGCGTGGTTATTCAAAATACCTAATCAATTACCAGTGACTTGTTGACATTTAGCAGTTGCCGGCCAATCACAGCGTCCGCGTTTCTCATCCCAGTGAAGACCTGGCGTGCAGAACTCACGTCGAAACTCACCGAGGACACAGCGGAGGTAGTTACCGCAGTTGTGTGGGTCTGGCACGTATACACCTGTTGTACAAGGCGTACCTGGCACTGGGGACTCGTCGGTTTCGACGGGTTTTTTTGTTGTGGTTGTCCAGCGTGTCGGTGCTCTGGTGGGGAATACGAAATTCGTGGGTTCTTGTGATTATTTCGANATTAAGAAGTGAGTGCAGGAATCAGGATACGCGTAGTACTGGCCATGCTGGCATTCCTTCGGTCCTACGACAGGACCATCAACGGGTTTCGGTGTTGTCGGTCTTGTTGGACGTGACGGGGGTCTTGTTGATGGTGTCGTCCATGCTGGAGTCGTCGGTTTCTGGGTTGTTGGTCTTTGAGATATCCATGGCTTCTGGGTACTTCCGCTTGCTATAATTATTCCAAAGGACTTGGCTGAATTTCAACGCGACATTCACGAATTTGTGGCGAAAATTCGAATGAAAGATTAATTCAGTAGCGAAGTGCTCAAACGGTTTAAGGCGATTTTGACTACTCATGAGTTTTCAATGAATATCTCGCAATCTAAGGCAGATAGCAAAATTTCTGTTTTGGCCTTTTCGGTAGAGCACATTAAGAGCCTCAAAAAAGATATTTACGAAAATTTCGCTATCTCCCTTAGATTTTGAGATATTTCTCGAAAACTCAGCTAAGAGCTAAGTCGACTTAAACCGTTTGACCACTTCGCTACTGAATTAGTTTCCATCAAATAAGAAAATCGAGACTTTGAGCCGTTTAGGAATATTTGTTACTTTTGTAAACGACATTTTCAACACCCGTTACCGAGGGATTCCTTTCGAATGCTAAACAGCTATGAACAACCAACAGAACAATACCACGTAAACGGTACATTGCACCCATTCGAACTTATTCACGATATTGTTAACACGTTTGAACAGAGAGCACGTACTGTCTGTTGTCAAGAAGAATTTAACTGATGAATACTAGGCCTGAAGCCGTGTCGCTAATTCTCTCGCCCAAGGATGGAAACAGGTTTGATCGCGACTAAATGAGCGGACAGACCATCACTCAATCAATACTGTATTAATTAGTAATAATGAAAACAGACGCCGCTGTGATTCTGTGGTGATTTAGCCGCCATGGTAGCGTCGAAGAAGAGTTGGTGCGTCGCGTGGTTATTCAAAATACCTAATCAATTACCAGTGACTTGTTGACATTTAGCAGTTGCCGGCCAATCACAGCGTCCGCGTTTCTCATCCCAGTGAAGACCTGGCGTGCAGAACTCACGTCGAAACTCACCGAGGACACAGCGGAGGTAGTTACCGCAGTTGTGTGGGTCTGGCACGTATACACCTGTTGTACAAGGCGTACCTGGCACTGGGGACTCGTCGGTTTCGACGGGTTTTTTTGTTGTGGTTGTCCAGCGTGTCGGTGCTCTGGTGGGGAATACGAAATTCGTGGGTTCTTGTGATTATTTCGACATGTTTATCGATCGATTAGGAAGAAGATGAGCATGAGATCGTGCATTTATTCTGATTTCGCGAAGAGGAACTTGGTTTCTCATTCCGAAAATAGTAAAATGTTGAAAATTTTCGCGGAAATGTCAGGAAGTCTTGTGTTTCCCAAGTTATTCTGTTATTTTTTGTTTTAAATCGTAGGGAAGAACGAGATGAAATGCGCAATGAGCTAACAGGGGGAGAAATACGATAAGATGAATGCTCTAGAAATATTTTTGAAACTTAATTTCGATAATTGCTCGAAAGAGTCAATGAGATGTGATTATTCAAAGCAAATTTATGATCCACTTCAATCCATATGGACTTTACTAATAATATGTTTTATATAATTTACTCAGACAGTTTATGAATTTGTAATCGATATTTGTTTATATTTAGTTGTTGTTTTCTCGGTTTTAGTTAATTTGGTCTCTATGAGGGTATTTTCATTAGCGCCAGGTCGATGTTGACTCAAGTATTAACCATTTTATTTTATCAACATCAATCTTCTTGACTCAATTCCTGATTAATAGATAATTCAAAATTTTACTATTGAAATTGACGATTGTTTTAATAATTAAAATTTTGAAGTGATATTAACTAATTGACAACACTTAAAAATTTTCGTCTAAATTTTCCGTGCCAAATTCCGGAAATTTTTATCGTGTTCAAGTTCCACTGAAATTTCAGGGAATTTTGTCAATGAAGATTCAACATTTCGTGGAAACATCAAACCGAACTGTAAATTTCCGTTCCAGTTTTTCCTAAAAATGAGTAGAAAACCAGAAAATTCTGCTAAATATATTCTTGAATTTTCAGGACAATGACACTGAATGCGATTTAGGGGGGAAAAATTATGAAATTTCAGATTTCCCTGAAAATTCAATGTAATTTGACACTGAATATTCATACTAGATTGGAAATTCTCATAAATTAAGGACTTCTCGTCTTTACGCCGCTCAAAATACTGGAATTTTACTGAATTTTCAGAAAACCCTGAAATTTCATGATTTTCTTCCCCCTAAATCGCATTCAGTGTCACTGTCCTGAAAATTGGTAGTCAACTGTCCATAAAAAAATTTCATTTTTTTCCTAACAGTGTACTTGATAATTCAACAGTAATTAGAATTTGTGGATATGCACTGAGAGAAAAATTTTCCAATATGTAGATCATATTTACTTCAGAGAAGTAAATTATTTTCAATGGGTTAAATCTCAAAATGTTTACGGTCTACGGAACTCGAATAAATTCTCAGTTATTACTATCGTTGCGCATTATATCATGAATATTAGATATCGAACTTTTTGTCAACTGCATAACAAAAAAGTCATGAAAATAATAAATACTTGATAGATTGGCGATTCTTCTGCGCAATTTGAATGAGTTCATTTGCAACAGAATGATACGTGAGTACAAGAATATTCTAAAGCATGAGACCCTTTTCGGCCCTCGTGAGTTGAGATGCCTTGGAGAATTAAGCAATTGAAGAAAAATTACTTGTCTCAAGAAAATATGTGTCAGATATTAGAATTTTTTTTTCTCAGTGTGGCTATTGCTGATGTCAATGTTATTTTTACCTGATAGTTGTAGTCGTCGTACTCGCCGCAGTGCTCCAAGTCCACGTGGGCCAAGTAGTCCCCGTCGTCGTCGGTTTTGTACTAGGTCTCTCCGTCCAAGTCGGCCAAGTGGTGGTCTTAGTCGTAGTTGACGACGTCATAGAATGCGTGGGCCTGGGAACGCCGTCGTTTGCATCGCTGTGAGTTGTCATGGTGGGCGGTTGAGGGGTGGCTGGATCTGACGGGCGCTCGCAGTTCTCGTCAATCGGTGCCGGGTCCAGAAGACGCCCTAAATTCCAAACCACGCAAATCTTAATAAATCCAAGGGAAAGAAAATGAAATTACGTAAGGAGTAAATCCGTACCCAGAGCTCGGTTGAGGCTTCGCAGGAGTGGAAACGGTTCGAGGCAACATCTGTTCATGAAATCATCCAAGTCTACGGTCCACGCTGTCGCCCCGGCGAAGCCGTTCTGCATTATCCAAGAGCCTTTCTCGAAAACACTATTCGCATCGTCGAACGCTACAAACTGATCCTTGAAGTGAGCACTGGGGCCCTCGCCGATGTCCCATTTACGACGCTTGATGTTGTCGCAGATTTCGTAGTATGCAAGCATACCAGGTTGTTTGGTGAACTCTCCAGGGGTGCCTGGGCCACTTGCCGGATCCCCTAATTTGTGCTGAAATGCCGAAGCTAGACGATAAGCTTGTCCGTAAAACGCGACTCCTGGAACAAGTTTCTGTCTCTGGGCTCCCAGGCTCATCAGATAGTTCATCGTAAAATTCTGGAAACAAGAAGCTTTAATAACACTTGAAATTTTTTGTAGAGCGAAATAGTTTCTATTTTTTAGGAACAAACGGACGGCTCTTGTATACATTGTCTTGAGAATGAGAATCACTAAAAATGAGTATAAGAAATTACTTGTTCCAAGTAAAGAATCTTCGTGGAGTGAAAATTAGCGAGGTATTGAAAGTTCAGGATTGATTAATCATTAATTCGATATTCATTGAGTCAAGTTCTCAGGCAATATACTCTTGATAACAACGGGACTATTATTTATATTGAAATGGAATCATTAAATTTACAAATTTCTGACATTTTAGTAAATTAACTGTTAAAACAAGAACAATTATCAATTCGAGGATGAGAATCTTACTAATTTGAAGACACCATTAAAAATTTTCCATTGAAATTTCCAGTAAGTGTCTTGGAAATTTCTAACAAGTAACCTTTCCACAGAAATTTCAAGGAATTTCATGGAAAAATCCGTGGGAATTTTAAATTTCAGTTTAATTATTCCGAGAAAATTAATGTAAAATCAGGAAAATTTAGAGAAAATTTTCCTTGAATTCCAGATTAATCTGAATTTTCAGGGAATTTGGCAATGAATATTTAAAGTCACTTGAAAATTCATATACACTATGAAATTTCCGTATTCCGGCGGCTAAAAAATTGGAACTCTACTTGAATTTTCAGAGAAACTTGAAATTCCACTGACTTTTTTCCTTAAAATAGAATACAAGGTCTTTTTCCAGAAAATTCAGCCAAATTTTTTGAACAGTATACACTCATGCAGTATACACTTATCGAGAAGTTTTTTGCCTAAATTTTTGTAGAAAATCTTCGAATAAATGAATATTTTCTCCATTTCTCCGATTTTTCAGAGATTTCCGAAATTCAGAGATTTTCAATTTCAAAAGGAAAACTACAATTCTAACTTCTAAAAACTAAAAACTTGTTTTTTCTGCATTCAATAATTTACTTCAATCAATCAAGACCACATTAACGAACTTACGATATTATAATACGGATTATCATCCCCCCACCTCTCGTAGAGAGGCGCCAAGTGTCCAGTCTTAGACTCCCAAGCGCCATGATAATCATAAGTCATGACCGTTATAAACTCCGCGGCTTCAGAAATCTCCAAAACGTCATAAGCCCTGTCAATGACTTCCTTGTACCCGGACAGAGCGACCGCAAGAGTCAACGGAGGGTTTGCCTGATCAAACGCCTCCCTCATCTCCTGAACCAGCTTCGTGAAGTTCGGTTTATCAGAGTCAGAGCCCTTCTTGCAGTCGCTCTGCCAGCACTTGGGGTAGTTCCACTCGAGCGACAGTCCATCGAAATTATTCATGTGCAAGTAGTTGACTGTCGTGGCTATGAACTTCTGTCGCGCCGAGGGGCTGCGGACAAGCCTGGAATACTTGTCGCCAGTGCTATCAGTCCACCCGCCGAGCGCCAGGAGGACTCTGGGTCCATTCGCCGCGGTGATCCTCCCGTAGAGATCATTGTCCACGTCCGCCCAAGGGTCGAACGGTTGCATCATCAAGCTGTCAGGGTTCAGCCCGGCGAAGGCGTAGACGATGTCAGTGCAGAGTCTCGTGTCCAAATGCTCAGGGACGAATTTCCCCTCTCCCTTTCGGTAGAGCGACCACGAGGTGACGTAGCAGACGACTCTGGGCCCCTTCTGGCTGATCTGGAGCTTCCCCCTCTGCCGCTTCTCCTTCAGATTCTCCAGGTATCGATGGCCCCCCACAAAGCGCTGGACGTATCCAGGATTGCACATGGCAGGATCTGCTTTGATGCATTTGCTGTCGGTGGCGTCGAAGAAGCGTCCCATTCCACAGGAGCCCTTGTAGAGATTGTGTTCGTCGCAGATTAGGAAGCCCGAGCAGTTGTCAGGATCGCTCGTCACTTTGTCCTCGCTGCATCTGCCGATGGGGATGTCGTAGACACCCAGGCTCGTGGTGGCCGTCGTCAGCATGGGCCAGGTGTCCCCGCAGAGCCCTACGAAGTCGTCTAGGTCTAGGGACGAGAGGTCCACTCCACCCAGACCCATTTGCTTGATGTAGGCTGTCTTCAGTTTCACTGATATTGGGTCTTCGTAGCCCACCCACTGGTCTCCTCGCTTTATGTAGGAGCCGTCGGTGTCTCTCCCCGCGTACCATTGTTCCTCGATCATCGAACAGGCTTCGTAGTATGACCAGATGCCCAGAAGATTCGTGTGGCGGCCCGGAATCCCTGGGAAATGGGCATTGTGAGGGGGATTAGTTGGGGGGGTGGCTTGACAGGCCAAGGTGATCGGGTGGTTGAGATCACAGACGAAAAAATTTAATAGAAAAACCTATCGAATTCATTGGAAAATTGTATTAGATTTCTATTGAACTGTTCTATTAGTTTTTGGCCGATTCTATTGAAATGTTCAATAGAAAATATTCAGTAGAAATAGTTATAGAGAAAAATCGAATTCTGTTGACTTTTTCTATTAAATGTTTTCTACTGAATATGTTGATGGAATCAGCCAAAAACTAATAAAAAGTTTAATAGAAATTCAATAGAATTTTCTAACGAATTCGATAGGTGTCTCTATTAAATTTTTTCGTGCGTGATTTCAGATGAAGTTACGTTAAAATGAAAATAAAAGGGAAAATGCAATTTTTATCAATCAATTTTTATGCATTTTCAAATCAATTTCTGATAGAAAACGCATTTTATGTACATGTTTACCCCATATGTTACGATAATTTTTACATTCTTACGGGATTTTTAGAAAATTGAGGAGTAGTTTACATTCGTATTTCAATTTTTAAGAGTGAAAATTTTTATTTCATTCAAGATTAAACTGTTCATGGAATTTCTTGCTCATCTTGGAAATTCAGTGAAATTTAATTTTTTACGTCAGACGATTAGTGATATTCTAAGAACACCTTGGATTCTCAGTCATCGTGAAAATTTAACATCACATTCAAGTGAATTGAGGAATTCTCGTCATAGTGGTGTACAAAAATGTAGAATTTCAATGAATTCAAGTGAAATCTGGAATTCCATTGGATTTTCAGTGAAATCCGAAATTTCATAATTTTCCTCCTAGTTAAATTCAATGTTGCTGTCGTAAAAATGACTAGACAACTGTCATATACTTGGCAAACGCAATTTTTTTTCTCAGGGTAAAATTTCCAATTTTTACAACATTGCGTCTCAATTTTCAGCGTTTTATTAGACATATCATAAATGAACCGATTTGTCGGTAACCGGATCTCTAGAAATTCAATGTGAATTAGTCGTTATAGAAAATTTCAAAATTTTCTACTTGAAATTTCAAGAATAATTTCGAATAGTATACGCATCAGGGTAATTTCTACATCAGTTCCTTCGTCTACACAATCATTTCATACGATTTGATAGCATTTTTCGTCATTAGGCCGAAAGAAACTTCTCTGGCAAATGGGGCATTCCACACTATTTCAACGATGAAAATTTTGTTTTAATTTTTTCATGAAAATAGGACATATCGAAAAAGAAGCCCGCAAATGGCGAAAAAATTAAGAAATGATTTTTTTTGCAAGTTATTACAATTGAATAATTGGGCGGAGCAACAAACAGTCTTGCAATTGAAAATTTATAAATTTACAAATGTTTTTTTGTCGATAGAACATGAAAAATGGTTGAGAAAAAATTTTTGATTAAAAAAACGATTTTTTTTAAAATAAACAATGACATATTTATGTAAGTTTATTCGACCACGTGACGAACGATATTTTTCCGCAAAAAATAAATAAACAATGTGTTCAGAATGATCATCGATACCTGGTCCAGCCACAGGAGCCCCAGCATTCGTGTCATTTCTATATTTCAGCGTGTAGCTCCTCCCGAACGTGGGGATGCCCAGGATTATTTTTCTGGGAGTGGTTCCACGTTTCAGCCAGCCTCCAACGAAATCCGTAACAAAAGAAAGGGGAGCGGGGTGACGCGCCCATTTCTGCGGAGTGTGTTTCCACGCTTGGAAGAACAGGAGATCCGTCTGATCAGCGAGTTCCGAATCTACTTCGTCTTCCGGTCTCACCGCGAGGGCGAGAGTGTACCCTTGGGACGTCAGAGGACTGTACAGGGCTTTCAGGAGGGATTTCAGTCGATTGTTGGGTGCATGCGCCCAGTTTATTTCAACCCCATCAAACTGGTGCTTCTGGAGGAAAGCTAACAGGGACTGGAGGAATTGTTCGGTGCGCCGGGAGTCGCTCGCTATGTCGGTGTAGAGCTTTCCGGCATCCGGAGAGACTATTGAAATCAATATGCGGACGGACGGGTCTTTGAAGCGGAGACCGACGACTGCTTTATATCCACCTGTTAATTCAATTATGTGTTCATTAAGGATTGATTATTACGCTGGGGGAGCTCGAATTATGGAAGGGGGGCCTACCTTTGATCTCGTCGTAGTCCGGATCCCGGGGGATGACGATTAGCTTCTCGGGATCTTTAATAATTTAATTCATTCGTAATTATGATTATTCATTCAAAGGAAATCAACCCTGTTGAGTCTGTTAGAATGATGAGAATGTTTTGTAAAATTAAAAAAATTAGATAACTTTTGGTTTAAGTGAATGATTGTGAGTCTAGATTGAGTCAAGAATATTTAGAAAACGTAAAGAGGCAAGATATATGTTTGGAGGGAAAATAAAGGAACAGATTTATTTCGGGGAAAGGAAAAGAAATTGAATTTTTATCGTGATCATCAGAAATTATTATGTTCTGCTGGAAACTTTCTTCTTTTTCCACAAGGAAATTTATTCAACACGACAATGATCTCTTCAGGGGAACATAAATCTCGGCAAAACTAATTTTTTCTCTCAGAGAAGGTAACCAAAAATGAAGGCGTCTTAATTTTTTTGTTTAGTCGAGATTTTTTGCGTTTTATCTCTGAATTTTAGTAATCATTTAAAGTACTGGATTTTTGGGAGTCATTGTAAAGACCCTAGTAAAAAATGCAATAAGTGGGTGAGAAAATGAAATATCTTGAGTAAAAAATTACAAGTCTTGAGAAATTTTGTATTTTTCACTTGAATTGGTGTATGTTCTGCACAACACAAGACAATAATTCTCTTAGAATTGTTATTTCAGCACACTGTTAAAAAATTTTGTCTGAAATTTCCGGCGCACGTTTCGGCAATTTTTATCGAATTTAATTACCACTGAAATTTCAAGGCATTTCGCCATTGAAAATTCTGAATTTCGTGAAAAAATCAAACAGAACTGTAAATTTCAGTTCCATTTTTCCCTGAAAATGAATAGAAAATCAGAAAATTCTAGTAAATATTTTTGAATTTTCAGGACAGTGACACTGAATGCGATTTAGAGAGAGAAAAATCATGAAATTTCAGATTTCACTAAAAATTTAACGTCATTTGCCCCTGAATATTCACATTAGATTAAAAATTCAAATAAACTAAGGAATTATGGTCTTTATGCTGCTTAAAATTCTGAAATTTCACTGAATTTTCAGTGTAACCCTAAATTTCATGATTTTTTCCCCCTAAATCGCATTCAATGTCGCTGTCCTAAAAACTAATCGTCAACTGTCCACGATATTTAATTTCTTACTAACAGTGCACAACTAATTTTTTAAACCCTAGTTTTCTCATTGTGCATTTTTTCACGAAATACCTATTGTCGCAGAGTTGTAAACAACGTGCGAGCACTTCCTGCTGGGAATCCCATGAGGCATCAGCGAGAACGGGTCATTTCTGTAAACAGCGCTGGAGTCCAAGTGGCAGACGATATTGTTAGGGCCTTGATTACGACGAACTGCAGGGAGGAGTAATTGTTCTAGCCAAATAGCCTCGTGATTAACTATTCGATTGCCCAGGGGAGGCGGCGGTCGGCGCTCCACTGCGTCCCTCAGGGGAGTTCTGGAGGTGAATCTGCACTCAAATAAACAATTTCTTTCTGTTCACCGCTTTTTCTATTATTCCTCGGAGGAAAATTCAACGAACCTCCTTGGAATGTCCTGGGGGATCTCCTGCAGTCGTTCACTCGTGACGTCACCGCCGTGAGGATTGAACTCCACAGCATCTCGGAGGGGGACATGCTGGGAGGATCCGAATTCAAGATTAGGCCGATTGTCAGAAATAACATCTGAGTGGGTCTCCACAGATGTACGATGGAGGGTATCACCATTAGAATGTGAAATGGGCCTCTCGACTGGTGGCAGAAGATCGTGGTCTGGCATGCGATACGATGTGACCAGCGTCAGGGTCGTTAGACCCAGCAAGGCCACCGTTGGCCAACCCATTGCCTGCGTAAAAACTACACATTAATTCGAGAATGAACGGAGCAATAAAAAAATACAATCACTGCGGACTGCGAATTTTCTTGTGCATGGGGATTACCCCCTGTTTGACACTTATTTCACGGCCGTGCGTGTCCCAAAAACTCCAGGAGTATTCGCGAAATGCTAATTTATATTCCAAGTTGTAAACTGGGGAATCGGCCCTCGGGTCCCTGGTTATGCGATTTCACGTTTCTCGTTTTTGCACGGAAAAAAAGAGAGGGCGAAAGGCCTGAGATCGAGGGAGTTTCGACTCCAGTGGGGGACATTTCTGGCTGACATGTGCGATGCCCTTCGTCGGAATTTCAGGGCGAAATCAGTGAGAAATGTGACATTTAGTTCAATTATTCTCCGAAAATTAATTGATTTCTGGAAAACTTGGGGAAATATATTTGCAAATTTTGAATTAATTTAAAATTCAGGGTAATTTGGCGCGAATATCCATGTTTTCATAGAAAATACAAATAAGTTGAGAAATTCTCGTCTTCCTGCTGCTCAAAAATTTGGAATGTCATTGAATTTTCAATTCAATTTAAAACTTCATGATTTTTTTGCTCCCTAAATTGCATTTAAAGTCAGTCTCCTCAAAACCACCGTTCGTGGTGATCTCAGGTTTTTCAGCGTTTTGTCCCTTTTTCAATTTGGTTCAGATGTTTGGGAGAGCCATCAACCCGTTCATCGGGTGGTTCAGGTGACCGAGTGGAAACACACACGGGTTCGAAGGCGGAGAGAGTGGAATGGGTATATTAACCCGTCGAGTTAGTGGATTTATCTTTTTTTTTTAATGAGTAATCCTGAAATTGAGAGTGACGAGTCATGTTTTTTGGAAATTCATTTGTCACGATTTAATCAATGCGTTAAATACACCGTTAGAAAGTTACTCTTGGAATTTCAAGTGACAAATTTTCATGAAAAATCGCGATTGAAATTTTGATACATGTTGTTATTCACAAATTAGTTCGTGTAAATTCAATAAAATTATAATTATCCGTTCGATAGGACAGTGAAACAATTGAAAATGGGAAAAATCGATTGTCTCAATTCTCAAACTATTGAAGATTCACGCTGTTATTGAAATATCAATGATCGCTCATTATGAAAACGTCAATTTAGGTGAATTTACAAGGCGAAACCTCAATGGATAAATAATTACGTTAACGATTTGATCTCAAGATGAATGTAAATTCAATATTGAAATAACACTCAAGGTTCACATGCAGTTTTTACTTGAATTTCACAATAATTTTAACGATGTATTGTCGGCAACATAGCATAAGTGATTTTAATACGTTGAAGTGAATATAAGTGAAGAAAAAAGAAGAGTTTATAGATTATTTTTATATTCATCTATCTTTGTGAAGAATGATTACAAAGGAATTTTTATTCTACTATGACATCTCTATGAATATTTATGATCATCCCCACGATGACAATTATCAAGTATATCAATGGCCATTCGTCGAAAGAATAATGAAATTAAGGGATATTTTGCTCATAATTTTTCCAACTCATTAGAATGCGAAATAAAACTGGCAATTAATTACAAATTAAAAATTATATTCTTTCATGAATGATATTGTTCTTTTGAGCTTGACAACATTAATTCTCTCATTTTTGTTGATGAATTTCATATTCATAAACTTATGACTGTTTCATTCTATTGTTCATCGCCTGTCATTGTGTCCATCACCACATGAATCAATCTTATATCGAGTAGATTCTCTTTAATTGATTTTCTGACTCACCCAAATAAGAAAGAGAACTTATAGTCAAATAAAATCATATCTATTCAATGAAACATGATATTTACTTCATCCTGATAACATCGATCTTCAATAATCAATAAATACGATAGAAGTGCCGTGAGGAAATTGAAGTGAATAAAAATGAAGAATAAACAAGAAAGTTTCTAATTATTTCTACAGTTATTTTTACCATTTACATCCCCATCAAATGAATAGTTTTCAAAATATTAACAAATGTTTCCATGATCCAAAAAAAACTTCATTAGTTAGAATTGCAATCACTGGTTAGACGACGGAGAGAAATAAATGCGGATTAACTAAATTGTTCAAATTTCTATTCAACCGTTTAATTTCATACTTAATTGATTATTCGGTCATAATACGGTCTGGAGGAAATTTATTCTACAGTTGGCCAATTTGAGGAATTCCTCGGAGAGTGCTTCCATTCGGCGTCGTGAATATCGATTAAATCCGTCATAATTAGTGATGTTATTTGCAAAGAGTGATGATGCATCGATACCCCACATTTTTTGTGGAAATAACTTCGATGAACTCATGAACTTTCGATCAAAATTCGCCAGCAGATTATTTTTATTTATTCCGATACTTGACTGAGGGTGTTCTTAAGGGGTCACAGAAGGCCACCGTTTCCTCGAATTGTTTCACCAAAATTCCTGCTCAAAGTTATTAATACTTTTCGAAACCAAAGCACATTGATCTTCATCATCACCTCCTGGAGATTAACGTGCTTCGATTCGTAAAAATATCGATGACTTTCCGCAGGAGATTTCTTAACAAATTTGGAAAAAATTAGCAGCATTCAGTTACCCCTTAACCTGGCCTCATTTGGAAGAAATTATTCATTACCAATAATTAAGACATTTAGGCCCGGTTGCACCAGCTTCAGTTAACGAACAGTTGAGTGAGAATTAGAATTCAAAAGCTCGATGGATTATTTTACGAGGGCGAGTATCTCAAACTTATATTAACTTAACTCTTCGACTCGAGTCAATGATGCCAGGGGATAAATAAAAAATTAATCTTCCAGTCAAACATTCAAAAGTTATAATCGCTGAAGTATAATTCAGTAGCGAAGTGGTCAAAAGGTTTACGTCGGTTTTGGCTATTCGTGAGTTTTCAATGAATATCTTGCAATCTAAGGCAGATAGCAAAATTTCTGTTATGACCTTTTCGGTAGAGAATATTGAGAGCTTCAAAAAAGATATGGACGAAAATTTCACTATCTCCTTTAGATTTGGAGATATTCTTCGAAAACTCAGCTAAGAGCTAAGTCGACTTGACCGTTTGACCACTTCGCTATTGAATTCACCCCGAAGATAATTTTTTTCCAGGGGTTTGTTTTTCTAACAAAAATTGGTGCAAACGAATCGATGAATGTAATGATTTAATGTGATTAATGTAATGATTTACCTCAAAGCAAAGTCCCTGGAATTGTCTTGTAACTAAAGCACTTGACACGTTCCGAATATAGTTCGTAACGGCCCGAAAGAAAGCCCCAATGGGACACGCACTGGACTGTCTTCGCGTGTGCACCGCAGAACTCTCTGTTGTGTATTGCCGTGTCTTTTGTCAATCAATAATTGAAGAAGGACAGACTCCCCCCTTGAGACAGCCTTGCCTGCTAGGGCAAAATCACGAATGTGGTATTCCGGACGCGTATGAGGCCCCATATATACTCGCGGTCCCCCTTGCTGCCCGCACCGCGTGCCACAACGTTCGATGCTTTGTGCCCTTGCAAGTCTGAGGAAGAAACAGTGGTCCGATGACTCTTCACCTCTACCTCATAATTACGGGTCTTACATACCAATAATTTCGAGGATTGCGGGGGGGAAGTCGAGGAATTCTTGCGGTGCAGCAGATATTTTCGTGTTCATCATCATTTTTAGTGTTAATTGATTATGTAAAATAATTTTAGTCGCTCCCGGTGCATAATCGTATATTATATATTTTTATTTTGATAATAAGGTAATGATATTGTGGTTTATAATGTGCTATTGTTAGCATGCATGGGGTGTTAATAATCGATAATTTAAATGATGATGATTCGCAGTAAATTAGAATAATGATTTGAGATATGAAATTGATTTTTATATGAGGAATTTCAGTATCTCGTTGAACATTTCATGAATATTTGGATCATGACTATGGGATGATTTCGGCATTCAATATTTTGGAGGGATTTTGAAATAGTACAATTGTTGTTTACTCTGGGGATTGAGTAATTGAGAAATTAAATCTATGGTTGAGATTTTTTTATTTAGTATTGAAGATCAAGGTGTTTGACATTTGCTGCAGTTCTCCTCCTATTCGATGAATTCAGCGGCCCCTAATGGCTTGCTGGACTAGCTTTTGGCTGGAATTTCCGGTACGCTTGGAATTTTTCATTACATTATAGCTCCATTGATATTTGAAGGAATTTCGTCATTGAAAAGTCCAAATTTTATGGAAGAATCAATGGAACATATCAATGCACTTCAATTATTCCACTAAAATTATTAGAAACAGGAGAATTCAGGTAAATGTATTCTTGAATAACATTATCAAACAATAAATGGCAATTTGCATATTATTTTAGCGTAGTTTCATTAGCGAAGCGGTAAACCGGTTTAAGTCGATTTTGACTATTGGCCAGTTTTTGACGCATATCTCGAAATCTAAGAGAGATTAAAAAATTTTTGTCACGACCTTTTTTGTAGAGCCATTTGAGGGTTATAAAAAAGGTCGTGAGAAAAATTTTTCTATCTCTCATAGATTCCGAGAAATTAATCAAAAACTGGCCACAAGTCAAAATCGACTTCACCCGGTTTACCTCTTCGCTACTGATTTGGTACTGAATATTCATGCTTTAATTGATATTTTATACTGGGAAAATTCTCTTTTGCTGCTGTTCAAAAATTTGAAATGTCATTAAATTTCCAGTGAAATCTGAAATTTCATTATTCTTTTCCCTTGACATTGAATTCTTTGTTACATTCCCGAAAATTTTTGGTCAAATGTCTGTCAATCTTACATTTCGAAAACTCTTATTTGGGCAGAAGAATTTGTCATTCATGAGTATTATGATAAGTAATCATCATCCCAGGTAAACGACAAAGTCTTAAGTTTCCGTGATTTCTCACGGAGAAAAAAACAGTTTTGTGATATTCAGTGAGTGAAGAACTTCACTGATTTAGTCATCCCGGAAAATTATCATAAATT